GGGGCTGGCTGGCATGTGGTGCTGGGGGATTGAACCGCAGTCCCTGCGCTTTGCTAAGCTTGTTCTAAGTAGGTGCTTTAGACCACTGAGCCATCTCACCAGCCCCTCCTTTCTATTTTCTAACCATTCTTGAGCTAAGATAGGTATGCCAGTCTTACAAACCAAGTTATTAAGCATAATGGTAAGAGACACAGTTGGTAATAAGGATTTTGTTACTATTAATAATGAATTTAAAAAGGAGAGGCAGTCAAATTCAAGATTCTTTTGCATAAGTCACTGATGTGTATTGGCTTTCCTTTATGCTTCCATTTTTGGGACACAAATATGTGGACTTGTAGCTGGACAGCACAATGTTAACTAGAATATGACACATATCAGACAGAGAGGGCCCATACTCTACAGACACATTTGAATTAAGGAAGGGTCCCAAGTGGTCTTTCTTTCTTATTCAAATATGCACAATCATGTAGCTAACCTGAGGACTGATGGGTGAAAGGAACAGAGGTCAGCATATTATTTATTTACTTATTTATTTAGCAGTACTGGGGACTGAACTCATGATCTTGCACTTGCCAGGCAAGCACTTACTCTACTGAGCTATCTCCCTGGCCCTGAGGTGAACATTTTAGAGCTGAATCTCAGGGAGTAACGCAAGAGCATGTGCAGGCAAACTCGCATTGCTCTTGAAAAGAACCCGTTATTTTCTGGATATAAAATGGTTGTATCAGAAGACATGTATGTGAGGGCTAACGCCCTCTCCCCTAATAGTTGGTGACTCAATGATTGTAGCAGCTCAGATACCAGCAAAGGGCTGTGATGCCAGAGTGCACAGAAGAGATGATTCAGTTACTGGCATCTTAAGAGCCAAGCACGTGGGAGGCTGCTGAGAGAATCTTGCCTAGAGACCCTCCTGTACAGTTCAGCCAGAGGTCTGTCTAAATTTCCAAATGCTGAGGGGATTTCTGAATTGAAAATACTTCCACTTCAGACACATTTGTCAGTAGTAATGCAGTTTATTTTCTAATGTGTGACTTGGAAAACAAGCTCAAAGCATTACTGCTGCTTTTGGAGATGTAGACTATCTTTACAATTTATGAGACCTCAGTATGTTGAAGATTTTTAGCACAATAATAGTAAAAATAAAGTTGATTAATATGTAATGTTTTGGGGCCAGGGAGATGGCTCAGTGGAATAAGCGCTTCCCTGGAAAGCGCAAGGGCCTGAGTTCAATCCCTGGTTCTGTAAACAAACAAACAAACAAACAAACAAAAAAAATGTAATGTTTTGATTTTCTGACATTCTTAGGATATGTGTCTCTCCATAGATAAGGCCTTGAAAAGTTTGAAAAAATGTTACTTAGAAAACCTTTGGCCTTCCCTGGCCTCCACTCCTTGTAGTAAGCATAGTCCTTGTCTCCTCCTTTCCACTTCCCTGTAGTTTTCTGTACTGAACAAAATCATCTATTTTACTATGGTGCAGATACCTGTGGAACCTGAATCACAATAGTGGAAGACAGAGTCCAAATAAACTACTTCTTTTTATGTACTTCTTAATTTTCAAGATTACAAATAAATATTTATTTTCCTGGCTAGTAAATATGCACACATATCTATACATATGCATATATATATAAAGAATGCTAACTCTTTTTAAAGAGATCATTAACTTTAGATTAAGAATCACACTATAAAAATTTTCTGGGAAAATCAGCTTGTGAGAGTTGTATAAACTGCCTTGGTGTGTCCATACCATTTCTAAATGACGGAAAGGCATCTTACCCTTAGTTGTGATTTTTCACCAAATATATAAAGGGCTGCTTGGCGTTTTAAGAGTTGGTTTTGTAGGTAGGTACTATTACCAAAGGAGGCTGAGTGATCCTTGCCTGCCAGCCGGGCGCCAACATCAATGAAGGATGTTGGAGAGCTGATCAGGCGAGTGCTGGAGCGAAGACTTGTCCAAACACCTTCACAAAAGTCAAAAGAGTTGAGTGAGACAATCTGACATAGGAATTCCATGAATAAAGAAAAAAAGGCATGCTATGAAGCTACAGTTTTAGAGATAGTAATGAGTTAATCAACTTAAGAGATCATGGATCACAATGGTCATTTGCCATCTATCTTTGTAGTAAGCATCATTTAATATAGCATTTCAAACTCAATCTTCGAATTAGAAGGATCTAGGAAGTCAATAATATCCCATTTTTAAATACTGATGTAACATCAGTATTTACAAGTATATATTAAAATCATAAATAGAAAGAAGGCACTGACACAAAGAATGCAGGAAGGAAGTAGTAATGAAACCAGGGAATTAGAACACTGAATAACTCAATTTATCAAGGCTTCAAGAAATAAATAAGGAACATTTTCCTGCCTTTTTAGTTAATGGAACAAGAAATCTAGTTAAAGAGATAAACTAGAAACTTATTAAAGATAAAACTGAAAACTGGAGTTAAAAATTATATTTATATCATGCCAATGATATAGATTATATATAGCTTTTTCTAGTATCCATGAACGACAATGAGAAATTATACATTTAGTAACAAGCATTTCACTGAACCATAGGAGGCTTTATTTAAAATATAGTCAGAAGCAGATGCATTCTAAGAGAAAAGCCAAGCTAAACAGCTAGAAGAATCTTGTGATGTAGGTTTATCTTATATTAGAAAAATCAAGAATTTCTATATGCAAGTGAGACCATTAAATATTATTGTATTATTGTTTACAACTAACTCACAAGCATATGCTAATTCTCAAATCTGACTAGCACTGAAGCACCTTCAATTAACAAAGCCCCTGGGAGATGCCTGTAGACTATGAAGCTCATAGTGGTGGCAGGGTTACGGGTAGAGGGCTTCCCTAAAGCAGGTTTTCTTCTCTAGATATAAAAGTTTGCTTGAGAAGTTTAATAAAATCAAGGTATATTCCTAGGTGATGAAATCAACATGATGACATCACATCTGCTACTTCATCAGCATTTATGGGGTGAGGGGACCAGTTTCCAAGAAAAGGTTTCAGAGGTGATTTCTGTCTAAAATGTATTTTTCTATATAATTGATATGCTTTTCCTAGGTATTATGACAAGTTGTTTATCTGTAAATAGAATCACAGGAAATTCAGAATGGGGATGAAGATAAAGGATACAATTCAACAAACATGTAAAAAAGTCATTGGTAACATACTTTCAAATGAAGATGGTTTAAAAGAGTGACACATCAGGACACTTAATACAGTACCTTGATTATGGACTCTTCCCTTAGCTGAAGATTTGAGATTTGACTGAGTAAAACATTTATCTCTGTACCCATGCACTGGTAGGTAAGATTAAAGACAGAGGAGAAATGAAATGTATTTGGCAGCAAACATCAGAGCAGGTCAAATAAGAGAAGTATAGGCTATTTAATTTTTTTCAGTCTATTTAATTTTTAAGATTAAGTTAGCACAGAGAGAAAATGTAAATATAATTAAGCTAGGAGATTTAATTAACAAACAAAAGCTAGACAGTCACAAAAAGATGAACTGAGTGCCTGTGAAATGAAATTTCAGCACCTGTTTATAAATACAATAAGCACAATGAAATGGACAGCACAGCAGAAGGTGCCACTAAAAAATTATACCAAATGGAACAAGCTTTTGAAGATTGTCATTCAGTCAGAAATAAGCTCATATAATACATTTAGGGAATTTGGAGTATATGTGTAAATGTTAGGAATACACTGGCCCTAGGACTGAAGGGGACTGGCAAATGCTACTTGTTGTACAACATATTTGCTCTCTGAGCAAGATCATCCTAGGAAAAAGTGCTAGCAACCATTTGGAATAACTAAGGGCATACTTTTTCAATAGAGCATTAAGTATTGCCACACTGTTTTTCTTCTCTTTTTATAAATTATATTTATTTTCTATAAATAAATATAAGTAATACAAATTCAAGATCCTGTGACAATGCCTAATACCACTAAGACAGCCAGCTTGTGATGACTGAACTCATGATTTCTCATAAAATCCCTACTTGCACCAAAATGATAAGCAGTATTAGAGATAATAGTTTTGTAATTTGAGTAATATGCTTTTTTCATTAGAAAGAAATTATTTTATGACTATTGCAAACTTTACCTTGTAGTAACTAAAATGCTGAGCTAGCCACATCATTTCCTGAGCAAAAGAATTGTTCAAGTAAATTATGGGAAATGTATTTGTTTAGCGTCATATGTCTTTCTTCCACTGATTAATTGATTGATTGCATTACTGGGGACTGAACTGAGAGGGTCTCAGGCATGCCAGGCAAGTATTTTACTACTAAACAACCCCATCCTAATAACTAACTGTAATAGCAATATTATTAACCTGTACAATGCAAATTGCAAAAATGTGACATACTGTGATAAAAGAAAAGTCATTAGAAGTGATTTTCATTCCTACTTTCCTCCTTTAGAAGCAGAAAATGAAAAGTGTTCATGGCTTCCATGGTCAAAGGAAGTCATAAAAAGGGGCACACAGAAGCTGGCTAATACACACAGACTGCAAGTGCAAGGCAGAACAAGGGCCTGGGACTCCATGGCAAAGGCACGAGGCCTCCTCTGTGCTCAGAAACAAAAAAAGCCTTCCCAGGTTGGTACAGGCATAAGTGCTTAGGTATTTTGTCCCAGTAATTGAAACACTTATCAATATAATCCAGGTATAATGTTAACTTTTTAGAAAAGCATTTTTTTTTTAAGAAGACAGGAAATGGTTCCTTAGGTTTTATTTTTTATTTTTTAATTTTTTCCGTAATTTTTTTTAGAAACAAATAGCAATGAGACAGTTTCAAACCAAGCTCTCCTTTGTGCTTTCCTACTGGAATGCGAGATACTCAGATAATTACAGCAGAGCTCCAGATTCTAAGAAACTTCCCTGAACATATCTCAGTTTGTTAGTCTCTGTCTGGAATAATTTTTCCAATTATTTTACCTGGTAAACTTGTTACCACTTAAGATTCATATGCCAGTTAATCTCGTCATGTCAACTTGACTGGTTAACCCACTGATAAGTTCGCTGATAAAGGGGATATTACGAGGTGGGGACCAGTTGAAAAAAAGGGGTCAGGGGAGCGTGAGTATGAGCACTACTCTGTTCTTTGGCTCCTTCCTTTGGCACTTTTTCTTTGTCCTGTTTCCTGGGAGCTGTGCCTCAAGCAGCTTTCTTTTGATGCCCTTTCTATTCTTGCCTTGGAGACAGCTTACTATGGAGTAAAACCCTTGAAGCCATGAGCCAAAATAAACCTCTCCCCTCTCTAATTTGTAGTTATCAGGTATTTTGTCCCAGTAATTGAAACACTTATCAATATAATCCAGGTATAATGTTAACTTTTTAGAAAAGCACTTTTTTTTAAGACAGGAAATGGTTCCTTAGGTTTTATTTTTTATTTTTTTCCCATAATTTTATTGAGAAACAAATAGCAATGAGACAGCTTCAAACCAAATTGGTAGGACAGTTTCAATAATTAACATAGAAAAGCATTTCTAATTCTCTTGATTTATAAGGATCTTTATCTGAGCTCTGATGAAACTGCATTGTGGTTGTTTTCACTCTTTTAGTCTACAGAACTGTGGGCTCATAAAGGCAAAGATCTGGTCATTTTTATATCTGTGCTGAGAGTCATACAATATGCACTCAAACATATATTGGTTATTTTATTTTTGGAAATGACTACATTGTGAACTGTTACAAGTCCTTTTTTTTTGTATTTAGGACAGGTTCTACAGGGTCTACAGGGTCTCGCTGTGTAGACCTGACTCGTAGTGATCTTCCTGTTTACAGCCTCCCAAGAGCTGGGATTACAGGTGCGCACCACCATGCCTAGTCTCAACTGCCTTCTCAGTGTGCCCCCGGGGCGGGGCTGGCACGGCAGGCCAGGAGGTGGAACTCCCAGCCCCTGCATCTGCCTAGGCAGGTGCTTTAATCTGCTGAGCTATTTGGCCAGCCCTTGTTATGTCTTTATCAACTCAATTATTTACACTGTAAGGGTGAAAAGAAATATTAAAATCATTAAGTATATCTTCAAATAGAATCATTAAGGAAAAACTGACAAGTACTTATCACTGAGTAGAAAAGCAGCAATAATAAAAATGGCCTATACTGATATGGGGCCAGTAGAGAGTTTTGAGAACTGGAATCCCATCTGGAAGTCATTTGACCAAAGGAATGCTACTCCTGCATTGGTGGTAGTCAGGGCTATTGGATTTCCTGAGTGATTCCTAGATGTCCTAAGCATTTAACACCAGCGAAGGACTAGAAAAGCCTTTTTTTTTTTTTTTGACTGCAGGAATACACTAGTGTTGTATGAAACCATTTTAGTAGGTCAAATCAGAATTTTTAAATTTTATTTATTTTTTTACATTTCAATTTTTTTCTTCAAAAGGAGTTGTGTATGGGGGGGTGAAATGTTTTATAGACAAGAAAAAAAAAACTGCACTAGAGCCAACTTATTTATCATCATCCTTTTCTTCATCCTCCTCATCCTCTTCATCTTCCTCCTCCTCTTCATCCTCCCCCTCTTTCTTCTTTTTCTTGCTTTTTCAGCCTTGACGACTCCTTTTTGCTGTATCAGGTTTTCCTTTAGCCCAGTAGGCAGCGATGTCCTTTTCATACTTCTTCAGCTAAGCAGCCTTCTTGTATCTGCTTGCCACCTGCTGCCGTATTATTCCACATTTCTCCAAGTTTCTTTGCGACATCACCAATGGAGAGGCCAGGATGTTCTCCTTTGATTTTTGGGTGATACTCAGAACAGAACAAGAAGAAGGCCGAAGGAGGCCTCGGGTGCATTGGGATCCTTGAACTTCTTTTTTGTTTCTCCTTAGGAGGAATATAAGTTTTCATTTCTCTTGTATAACAAGCCTTGTCCACTTTTGTCATGTCTTCAAATTTTCCTTTTTCTTTAGCAGACACGGTCTTCCACCTCTCTGAGCACTTCTTAGAAAAC